TTCTCTTTCAGCTTTCAGGTCCCATCGAAGTCACCCACCACAGAGCTAGGGATTCCAATTCGCTCATCCTGACTACAAGGACACACTGATAATGAGTAGTCTTGGCACTTCTCCCTCCAGTAACCACTTTTCAGGTCTTTTCAGTTAAGACAGCTAATGCGTAAGGGCTGACACACGCTAGACACAGGCTCGTGATAAGACAGAATTAGGGATTTCAACTCTGACTACGAGGACACACTGATAACGAGAATTCCTGGCACTTCTTCCTCCAGTAACCACTTTTCAGGGGACCGGGTTAGCTTTGCCACACTCTTTATTGAAGTGTGACTGGACGCTCTACAATCATCTAGTAGCAGCAGAGTTTGACTGACATCCTTACTGGTTCTATTCAGTTTCTACAGCGGAAGTTCTCAACACTCGAATCAGTTCATCTCGGACATCCTGCAGAGATGCTTTTTCACAGCCTGCCCCATTACACTGCACGGGGAACCCTTAGATCTACAGTACCCTGGTGGACAGCTTAGCTCATTAAAGCATAGTGGACCTCTTTAGTTCTGAGACGCAAAGCTAACCGGACCAGGAATAAACATCAATGCAATGCTTAGGGGATGCAAATAGGACATACAACGTTTAACGATTTATTCGAACTTTTGATTCATTTTTAAGCTCGACGTTACATGGTATCAATTCAGGACAGATATTCCTTCTTCAGGTTCATTGAGGAAATCGTACCCGCTATTTGCGTTATACATGGCAAGTATCTGGACTAATGATAACTTAGGATCTCAATCAATCATAAATTCCTCTCAGATTCCCAGGCTGCATTTAAAGCCCTTAACAGCACCAATTTTAACTCCAGGTTCGTTCTGAACATCTCAGACCAACTCAACTCGCTAGGTTTTCTCATCGAGTAGAACTTTGTTCCAGGACATGAGGGAGTATACGGTAAAGAACTATAATCAACACCCAAATAAAAGATTACCTCTTCAATCTCCATATCAAGAAGTATAAACAGGTGGCACTCAGTGATAAAGGAAAAACCCCACTAACATTTTTCCTCAACAAAAACAGGTACAAGAAAATTAACATCACAGGTACTCACATCAGATGGCTAACATGGCTACTATCAGGACACAGCCCACTAGCATACTTCCAGACGGTAGCAAACAACTCCAATTTCGAAACACAAGACTGTGAACACTGCCCAGGGGAAGCAGAAACATCACAACACTTCCTATGTGAATGCATCCAGCTGATGACAACTAGAATGAGGATATTTGGTAAACCCATCCTAACAATTGAGGAACCCATCAATAGTAAACTCGACCACATTATCAAATTCGTGGAACAGTCAACAAGGTTTGACAGAGACGATCTATTTGGATAAGCATCTAGGACATACACCAAGGTTCATAAACAATCATACACTAGACCCACACAGGACTATCTCAGACAGTGACACATATTCAGGTGTGGACCATGCTCGGAAGTCCCTCGCCTGCCCGCCAAAGAAGAACATCTGAAGTGGGTTTGCTCTGAGCAAGGTAGTAACAGCTTCGAGACTCCAGAGGTCTGTTGCGTTGATATCTATTATTCTATGTTTTTGTATATACTTAGGGAGTCCTGGAGTGTGGCTAGCAGGAGTCACACTCTGTGGGCACGGCGAGAAGGCCTCCCTCTTCACTAGGAGGCCAGAAACCGTTGACCAAAACAGAGAGAGGGAGAGACATAAGGTTAAAAAGCATTTTTAACGTCAGGGCCTGGCGAGTTATCGACGAAAAACTATTTCGATCACGTGACTTGACCAAATAAGGAAGTTGGTATAATTTCTCGTTAGGGTTAAGGTTTTAAGCATATGCTTCAGTTAGGGATTGGCTTAGGGTAAGGGTTGGGTTTTATATAGTCCCTCAGGGCCATCTAGAGAACTTGTTTACTGTTTAAGTGAGTCACGTGATAGTAGAGTCTAGAGCTAGAGTTATTGGTCATCATCCAGTTAAAAACAACGCTCAAGTCTAACTTCACTGTAGTTTCAACAGATTCTTCTTATCATAAGCTAAACTACGGTCAAAGCAAACGAAAACGAGAGCACGGTCTTTGCTGACTTATCCTCAAGTGTGCTGCGCATGTCAGTTAATTAGCTCTCACCAGGGTTCTCGCTGGATAATTTTGTAATTGCATTGTTTTTGAAGAGTAATCGACGATTAACCCAAGGACATGGGACAGCTCATTGCTGAATTATTCAATAGCTCGGGGACTCTGGGTCACTCCTGGGTCCCTTAACTACTACTATAGGTGTAAGAAATACTGTTATAAATGTCAAAGCCTTACCACATTAAGGCTATACATTGTTATGTATAGAACAATTTATCGTAAGATGGAGTGAATGAGAGAAAGAACCCAAAGAATTTTACGATCGTTTAATGATGTCATTTTTCCTATTGGGGACTTGAAAATAGCCCACCCAGTGATAGGATAGGTACTTGATGAAGGTTTATCATACGAGGGTGAAGTGTTAGAAACACACGAATTGTTAGGTACCAACATGGTCGTTTTGATAAAAGGAGCAAGAGTCTTTATAACAACTGATTGAGGAGCACTACCCAGAGGCATTACTCGGCACTAACGCCTTAAAATCTTTAATTACAATCAAATATAAATATATGCACACAATGTATAAAATATGAATCATGTATAAAATATGATTTATACGCTATTAGCAAATTCGAATAGTACTACTATTAAGAATTTCTAAATAACTCTTATCTCTTGACATAAATTTAGAACAGCGACACAGGGTCTGAAGAATGCGCGGTGATATTTTTGTCTTGTAAATGACAGTGAAATTGCGCGGTAGCGATAGCATTGTAGAAAATGCTCGAAGATAGTCATATTTCGTTAGGAGGTTAAAGTTTTGTTGCTCGTTATTATCAACGTATGTTGTACCAAATTATTTAAATTTCTAAAAGTACGAAATTTGAGTTGTTCCAGTCCTTGTCATCCGGGTTAAGTGCTTGTGCAGTAAGCACATGCTTTAATTTGAATTTTCATGAAAATATAACGTTTTGTATAAATAGTTACAAGTTGGTTTGTCCACACTAAATTAATTTAAATGATAAACTTACCTTTCATGGCAATGGCATTTTGCCTTACCCCTATGGCTATTGGCTATACAATTACAACGGGATTCAATTCCTGGAGTTACAAAGATTATCGATAAAACGGGAAATTTATACTATAAATTCCCTTCATCCAAGATTCCCTGTAATCGGGGTACTTTACGCAGGTAACAGTGCAAGGAACACAAAGATAACAAGGAATAGTAATACAAAGTAAATAATCATGAGTGATATATACCTGATCAGTATACTTATAGATGTGACGTATAATGTCGAAGATATAGTGTGTTACTATATTTACCTGGTGCGGGTCTGTAGTAGTCAGAAGCTGTGTCCAAGCCAGAATCGAATTCAATCTGCTCCACTTCTCTACTCAACGAGTTGCTCCACAAGCGACTGTCGATACACGTCTGATCTGACATGGTAATATCCACTATTTTTACCTTGTTACAGTGCACCAATATCCTCATTCCAGATAGCCTACTTATCATCCATGTTTTGTCAACGGAACCAGGTAGGGAGGAGAGGAGAGGAGTGTTGGATCTGCATAAGCCGATCCCGTACTTTGGCGGGGAGGCGAAAAAGAGTCTAAAATCTCCTGCATCCGCTCCCGCTGCTGTGTAGAAGTTCACCTTCACATATTCCTGACTCCCGTCAAGACCATTTGTCTGGATCTGTAGCGGAGTCCTCGTCAGGTTGTGAGGTATCTTTACACCACGGGTCACTGGTTTCCAAGTTCCTGTAAAACAGTAAATCTGTCTGGAGGATGAGGGTTTAAAACATATAATTTGTTTAAAACATATAAGATTAAGTGATACGGAAAGGTTTGTTTAGCAGGAGCTTTCAAAATATATGTGTAAATCGTCTTTAGCAATGAATCTGTATTCTTTGTGATGGCTACGTTAATGAAAAAAATAAAATTTTATCAATTTCGATGATCATATCATTCTTGTAGTGCAAATAGTTCACGGCTGTCGGATCACCTTCATATGACGAAATCTACAAATATAGTTTTGCCAGATGTACGGAGTTACCCTCAATATCTGTCGCATTTACTATTTAAATGTGATAGATTTTGTCAGACGATAGATACACAATATAACTATAATTGTATATGTGCGATAGATACAAAAACGAAAATTTTTATAAAATATTTGTTGTTTGACATTAAAATACACATTCTTACCTTCTTTTGTATAAACACTTGCAATCCCAAATAACAAGAAGAACGGAAACAATTTCAACATTTCTAATTTTAGAAGGTTAAAGCAAACAAAAAATATAAACAGTTTTTATGGGCTGCTTTAAAACGAGAGCACGCTTATCCTCAAGTTGTCACTGTCACGTCATTAGCTCTTGCCAGGGTTGTCGCTGGATTATTTTCGAAATAGTGTTATCTTAACCCAAGGACGTGGGGCAGCTCTTTGCTGACTTATTCAATAGCTTGGAGTCCCTTAACTACTACTATAGGCGTAAGAAATACTGTTATAAATGTCAAAGCTTAACCACATTGTATAAAACAATTTACCGTGAAGTATTAGAGACATATGGGCTCTCTAGATATAGAGGGGGCTGGATGCTTGAAACTGTTTTAGGTTCCAGACTCCTGCATACATTTTTAATAGCTGGTGCGCTTCACGCTTCATACATCTTGTTTACCACGATTTTGCATGATCGTACTGAAAGTTCCGAACTGTGCGAAAGTGTGCGGAAAAAGATGTATAATGCGAGAAAGTGCGAGAAAGTGTGCCAACAGGTGAATAGTGCAATTTTGTATTGTCCCTGCTGTAATTTGATACAAATGTTTTGATCTCATTTCCACAATAGCAACTCACACATATTGGTTCCTTATTCCCAGCATTTGTAAAGTTAATATATCTCCAGGTTTCTGTTGAGGAGGACACTCCAGAACAACACTCTCGGTCACTATCTGTACTGGCACCTCAAATCTCAGGTATTGTACCATCGTTATTATTTTGATGAACAAATTGACTGTGTTAACGTTATCGATTTTCATAGTCTCTTGAAGATTCTCTGATAAATATCACTTTAGTTGATATCTTTCTCTTAAAGTTATGAGTGCTTTTCATTAACAAATGAGCCTTACATGGAAATAAGGCTATGGTTATGGCTGACAAGACTAGTAGACTAGGTTAAAACATTTCATACGTTAACTTAATAAATTTAATAGATTTTTAGTTAGTTTATCCCAGGTGGATGGCCGACTCTACGGCGCACAGTTTGCTTTAGTGATAGAGTTTTACTTGCGTTGCTGTGGAGATCATATAGAGGAACTGAACAAGATATCAAACTCTATGTCTAAAATAGGACTGTTGTACGAGAAGGTCAGCAGGAAGGTCACTCTTGACGAGGTGAGATTTGGAGATTTAGTTCTTTTTTAAGAGATTTAGTTCTTATTTTGATGGCCCACTATTTTATAATCACTTTACTTTGGCTAAATTTGCTTATGTGCTGTACGTATGTGTTTTATGTAACAAAGTTAATTTGCTTCACTCCACTACTCTGGATCTCGCTCCATTTTTAGTCTTTAGCCAGACAGTCATCTATCTTCGTATGGTCAGACAGTGTTTCGTATGGTCAGACAGTGTTTCACAGAATTCTGTGCATATACTCTACGCATAGCCCATACGGTACGGGAGAGAAGAACCTACTTTCCCTCCTGTGGCGTTGTGGAAGTGGATGTGCACGTCGTGTAGCATTGTAGAAGTGCGGGGACCGACAACTTCACCCTATTTAGAACTAGTTCCCACACAGTTGACAGGGCACCCAATCAGCCTAAATCCCAAAACGACAACACCCAGGTCATATTATAATTGCACCCAAATACGACAACTTCGCCCAGGTCATATTATAATTGCACCCAAATACGACAACTTCACCCAAATTTGTGTAGGTCAGATTTTCAGGTGCACCTCGTGTAACGTTGGATAAATACATTTATAAAATCAGGTCAGATGTAGATTTGACTGACATTTCTAGTGAACAATATTATCAAAACCGTGTACTGTATGATTTCAAAGGAGCACAGTTCGTGTGTATTTTAACGGAAAATTTATTTAATACGAGTCTTTTCTTTTGATCTTTATAATCATAAAACGTATATATACTACATACTACATATAAAAAATTACTATATATAGTAATTGTTTTTAAACAACTGTTACTCTAGTAGCAGGGAGGGGTTGAGTGTGCACTTCGATGTACAGAGTTTTTTATACTGAACCAGGTTAAATAGGTCATTGGTAACTCAAATTACCAAGGGGCACACGTTGTGTCGCTAGTCCCAACCCTGTGCGGGCCACGCCCATATTTCACATTAGACGCATATATGGGAAATCTGTATCCCTCTATTTTAGTCTCTTGAGTCTTGACACCGTTTTAGGTTTATACGGGTTCCTGCTAGTAGTTATAAAGTGTGCAGTATAAGTAATAGTGTCGACTCGAAATCTTTTAAATTACGTATATGCAGAGGAGTTAAAATGAAAACAAATGTTTGTTTAGCTCATTATTCGTTTTGCAAAGCTTCAGTTGACGATCGATACATACTCAATCTATAATTGTAACTTACAACAACATAGTTGTAAGAGATAATACCTGGGCAGGAATGGGCGTTACAGGACTGAGTCTGGGAGGACGATCCGGAACAGTCAGCGCCACCGTCTTTTGGGGAAGGATTAGTACAGGTCCGGTTCCTTGTCTGTGTTCCTCCCCCACACTCTGCAGAGCAGGACCACCAAGAAGAGTAGGAACTCCAACCTCCATTTCTCGGAGCTGAGAGAGGCAGATTAAATTTTTACGCTACATTGTCTCAAATATTAATCAACAAATCTTAAAATAAAGTATTGGGCTCAGGGACCCAATTTGAAAATTAAAGCTGACTAAGAGCTAACAATGTTAACTCACAACAAGTTGGGACGGAGCAGTAGTTCCATCTTGTTCCGGAGTCCATCGTGTAGCACCAAACTTTATCGTACTCCGCCTCTGGGTTTCGGCAATAGTTGTGATCGCCGATCCCCGCACTGCAGTAGGGGATTGATGAGAAGAAGAATACATCGTGTATTTTTATTTTTTTAAATGGTTTCTGGGGGAGAGTTTCTGAAAATCCTGACGTCCGGAAATTTTTGCAGAATTAACAAAAAAGTCCCATTTATTCCAACTCTTTGAATTTTATTTCAACTCTTTGAATTTTATTAACAATGAATTTTAGTTGGTTTTCTTTGTACTCTTAAAAGTAGCTGGAAATCCGGACGTCCAGGGGAGGGGGTGGTATTGAAAATTTGGACACACCCAGACAGGGGGAGGGGGTGGTCTGACAATCTGCGATTTTGGCGGTCGTCCTAAGTAGATGGCCCCCAGATGGCCCCAAAGCAATCTATTCTCGCTGATTGTGCTTAATTTATGTAAAAGAAATCTTTCTATGAATAATATTTTTGATCTGTATTATTTCCGTAATTTAGCTTAGGGGTCGTTCACATATTACGTAATCAGCCGAGGGGGGGAGGTTTTCAAATGCTTACGGTTGATTACGGGGGGGGGGGGGGGGGTTTTGGTCGTTGATTACGTAATCAAAATTTTAATTTTTTACCGATTTTCGAAATACCAATTGGACAATTTTCGTTAATTATGCAATCAAAATTTTCGTTTTTAAACCAATTTTCGTTTAGTCAGTGCTTTGCGATTATTTCATTCATTAATCCGTTGTGATGTCTAATCTTGATAACGTAATATAGGAGGGGGGTTGGGTCTTGATTACGGGGGGGGGGGGGGGTCAAACCTTTATTACGTAATATAGGGGGGGGGTTCGGTCTTTATTACGGTTGATTACGGAGGGGGGGGTAAAAATTGCCAACATATTGATTACGTAATATGTGAACGACCCCTTATGACAAGAGATATTGGCAGAAATTCCAATGAAGTTTTGATATTTAGTTATTTGTTTTAGGGAAAGATTAAACTTGGGCGTTGTTTTTAACTATCCCTTGTTTAGAAATTTTACTTAATAATGATAAAAATCAAAGTTATTGTGAATATCAAGTTAAGGCTAAGCAAGTCTCTGCAAACCACATCAAGAATTTGTGTGATTAAACTACCAAACTTTGTTAAAAGCAAGTGAATATTAAATATCATTATTAAAATATTATTATCACAGTGCTGGCAAGCACGAGCGGTGTCTTTATTGGGGGTATACTATGTACCCCCTTTACTATTCCATCCCCTTTACTATTATACCCCCTTTACACCCCCCTTGGTACACGTCGGAAGCCTCTTTCGTGCACGCGAAGCGTGCACTCCGGCCGGAGGCGGCGGCCGAAGGCCGACGCCTCCGGCAGGAGTTTTTCAAGCATTAAGACTCATCGGAAGTCGTTCAGCAGATTTATTTTTAGTTCAAAATATTATAATTTGATGTCAAAGATGTCAGAAATAAGAAATAGTCATGTTGAGATTTTTAAAAAATTTGCATAAAATACTCACCAGCACTGTTATACGAAATTCGGTAAAAAACCCGAAATCGCCATATTCAGGTGCCTTAAAAACCATGTTAAAATTGAGTAAGAGATCTGAAACTTTGCAGGGCGTCTAGACGTTGACCTAATCGACTGTAAAAAAAGTTTCAAGTTTCAGGAGCATCGGGAAATCGGTTTTCTAGTACCCCTGTTTTACGACAGATTGTCGTGATATATACATATATACATATATATATATTCAGGGATAGACGCTTTGCCAGTGATTTATAGCCTGTATTTAAGTGTCCGTAGATTCTAAAGTATAAAAGATACAGCCATTTCGGACCACAGGTCTTGAAGATAATTGTTTAGACTTTAGTTTACATTATGTTAAAAAGTAATTCAACGTCATCATCACCACTTGATGACGTCATCAAGTTAACCATTTTTAAAACTTGATTTTTCACAAAGTAATCATTTTTCAAATCGATTTTACGCCATTAAGGAGTAATTTTATTCAAAATTTGAGGGCATATTGAAGTTAGATAATTGTTTAAGCATTCTGAAAATCTACCGGAAAGTTTTTCTAGCTTGCTCCTTCAAAAAGATATTCGCTATTGAAGTTAGTGCTTTTTTAAAGAATAATTTTATAAAAACGCTAATTTTACGTTCTAGTATTCTCTGGTGTTGCACCATCCCTTGGGTTGTGGAGCTCAATTTTGCTTCCTAAAGCTCTAAATTGTGTCATAGGCTAGTTTTAAAGTTGAAAATCGAAAAGTTGCACACGTGGGGACACGCCCAAATTGATAGAAAATTGCTAAAATCACTGAAAATTGCTGTTTTCACCAATTTCCGTCAACTTTGGAGTGCCGTTGTGATTACAGTTCTTCTTGAAATACTTTGAAACTTTTCATGCTTATCAAACTATATATAAAACACCATCATGCAAAAATTTACGGTGATTCAATATTGGATGCGCACGCAACTTCCGCTCAAGGTTTGCACGTGCGAAAGGTTAAAATTTTGCTCATTCGTGATTTTGAACAAATTCTGCTTTGCCACGACAGTTCAATGTCATTATATATGAATTTAATGCCAACTTCAATGAGTATAAAGTGGCAAATTCAGTCAGTGAATATGCTACCTAAACACAAGGAAATGTTTTCAAAGGAAAAATTTCGAAATCGTTGAAATAACCTCCTTATTAATATTAATGAAGTTATGAGTTTATATTTCGGCTTTGTAAAGTACCCTGACATTATAATAAAAAAGAGATGATATTTTACCAAAACCCATAATCATGGGTAGAGTGGAGCGCTGCCAGTGTCTCTCTTTCCCAAACAAAAGGCAATGATATCGATTTGAATGACCGTTATCAAATGCAAAATGATACCGAGAATGAAATCGGTCGCTCGCTTTTCCCATTCATTTACAATTGAAATAGATTACATGTTATAAATCGAAACTTATTACAATTCGTAAGCCATGAATGAGTGGGAAAAGCGAGCGACCGATTTCATTCTCGGTATCATTTTGCATTTGATAACGGTCATTCAAATCGATATCATTGCCTTTTGTTTGGGAAAGAGAGACACTGGCAGCGCTCCACTCTACCCATGATTATGGGTTTTGGTAAAATAAGTATACTCACAATTGCGTTATCTTTGATTCGTGGGGACTATCTGACAACCAATTCTGACATGTGACGCCTTTAACCGTTGTAGATTTAGTCCCCCGATATCCTGATCCCTTGTTACTTCTATCATAGGCATCCCAACATTCCAGGACTGAAATTTTAATTTGGTCTGTGATTTGCAGTTCTGTCGTTTTAGACAGCTTGATATGGTGTGATTGGAGGAATGATATATTTCAGTGGTTTTTCGGCAACAGAACATTTATCCCAGAGA